CAGTATAGCTCGTTTGGTTCATCACGATAGGCAAGCCCGACCACGACCTCAAGGTATTAGCAACGATCGGGAGTAATAAGTTTAATTAGTATTAGATAAGAAATGAAATATTGTGTGATGTTTTAATGTCTGAGTAAAAATGGACGAATGTGTTAATTTGGCTGTGATTAACTATGTGAAATTAAAAAGTGAACAGAGATACATAATCATTTTCAAAAGGTGATCATAGCAGAGAAGTCACGTTGTGCAAAGCTCAACACAAGCTGTAACTAACAAAGTGGAGTATACACAATTCAGGAACCTGGCGCATTTTTTGTCTCAAGTTCTCTCACTATACAAGTACACTGAAATGAACTTGTCAAGATAGTGGAAAGTATCAAGTATAAATCATATGATAAGAGAGGAAATAATGAATTTAGAGATTAAAACAAACTTTAAGTAATTTTGAAATTTAGGATCTAACGCACAATGGACCTTGTCTGAACATTGTCATTCGTCTCTCATCATCAATAAATATAGCATTATGAACCACAACAATATAGTCAGCATCAACCAACATGGTTGGATCTATCAGAAAACCGTTTCATGATAGTAACGTAGGCTATTGAATCAACAAATGTTTTCATTCAACAAAATGAAATGGTCCTGTAACTTCGTACTAAACATGCTCTGTTTCTGATAGCGCCAAGAAATCTCCAACTGTATTTATTATCAGTTAAACTCCTTTATAATCTATTAGATTACAATCTCAGTAAACCTTTAAACCGAGTTAGATTGAGAATTAGTTACCTAGAAAAAATGAGAGTGGACACGACACGTAGTTACTCATCACAACTCCCGCCATTTGCTAAAGTCTTCGTAGAGTGTTAGGTCTTTTACTTGATTAACGCCGAACACGATAAACAATTAACAGTACTCTAACTCACAGAACCCCAACGGCCTTAAATCAGAAGACAGAAGAAACGGGATAAGTGGTTATTAGGTAAGAGTCTGCACCATCTCAGGTAAGAGTCAAAAATGTACAGAAAATCATGGCTGTTCATAGATATTAGCGTCAGCTATAACATCATTATAATTCAACTAATCCACAATGATAAAAGTCATGCGACTGTCCAACCGTAGGATGCAACGTTGATATTCTAAAAAAACACCATCAAGTTCTGATTGGGTGGCAACTCTCCTGCTCTTTAGAGCTTCTGGAAGCTCCATCGTGCTTCTCAAAAGCCGTCACGACATAGAGCAACCATATATCAGAAAATCCTTTTGATGACACTATTAAAAAGTCCAATACCAGGACGAAACGGCCATTCAGTATTCCCTAGTTTTCACTGGCTTCATAGCTAAGATAAGTTCATAAATCAAGCTATGAACATAAGAGAAAAATTGAGTAAAGTATACATAATCACACGGATCAATCAATATTTTTCAGCCTTAAATCATTCAGTTTTTCCTCAGGTAAACATATATATTATCAGAAGGAGGTTTTGTGGAGATATTAGTAATTTAATAGTTGGATTTATGGGTCAATTAAAGCTAGACCACAATGGAAAACCGTAAAACATTGGACTGCCGTTTCGTCTTAGCATGAGACTCATCAGCGATGCACATCTACGGTCCTGCCTCACGAGAAACTATCTGTCTCGCGCGCGAATGCCTAACCTGTAGACAACTGAGCAGGCATTAAACAATGTTAATGTCTAACTTCAACATTAGTAGTGTGCAACATTAATCAAAACTTGAATAGCTGTCAATGGAAGGCTTTTTATTTTATTTTACTTAAACACATAAAGATTGGTAGAAGGCGATCCTATGGTAGCCGGTGACTAATAATTGGTTCATGCACCATTTGTTACCTCAGGATCCTGGAACGCATGTGCACCATTAGTTTGGAATCAGTGTTTTCCAACTCCCCTACGTGAACTCTCCGTGTCCATCAACCCGGTTAAAGCATCGGACATTCGTTTTCCGTCCTCCCAGTTTCGTAAACAACACTCTAACCTCAAGAAAGCAGTGAGTAGGACTTTCCTGGAAGTGGTTGTATGCAAGTGGCCAGAAAACTAAGAAGATTAAAATGAAGAAAAGAGAAATGAAAATAGAAAGGGATTGTAACTTGAAAAAAAAATCATACAATATATGAGGGATAATTGAGGGAAGGTTTGCAATTGAAGCATTTAATGTATAGTTCCGATATGGTTGTCTCCATCTGTCTTCTCGTTCATTACATATATATATATCCATCTTTTATACTTTATTTTTAATTGTTTTGCTAAACTATTACATGTTACCTAAATCATAAATAAATTGATTATATAGAATCTATCATTAAAGCATTGGTGCTTTTCATAAGACATTTATTTAATAAGATCTACTTTAAATAAGATGTCATTCACTTTACTTTGTCAGAGTCATTCAACAAAATATCGATTAGAAATATTACTATTTAGATTGTTTATCCAACATTTAAACAATCTTGAGAATGTTTCTGATATGTGTGTAAGAATGATAATGACTGGCTTCATGAGGTATTTCCTGGAGTTCTCGTGAAAAGCAGTGATCAGTGGAGTTCAACCGAGTCTCTTGTGAGATAGTAACTCAATGAAGACAATGGTAGATGTGTCGCTCAATTTCGTGAATCAGTTGAAGTTATAAATTAACAACGTTAGATGGCGGTTGGCTTAATGGTCTAGTGGTTAAGTGTTCGCGTGCGAGACTGATAGTTCCTGGGTCGAATCTCTCGAGTAGCCATCGTGAATATGGACTTCTGAGGAATCCTACAATAGGACGAAATGGTCGTTCAATGCTTCCAGGTTTTCCATGATGGTCTAGCTTCAACTGACTCATCATCTCAACTACTGAAATTACTATGTTTACGCCTGTTACTCCCAATGGAACATAGGCCGCTGACCAGCATTCTCCAACCCATTCTGTCCTGGGCCTTCTTTTTTGATTCCATCCAATTCTTGTTCATTTTTCTCATGTCTATTTCCATTTCTCGGCGTAATGTGTTCTTTGGTCTTCCTCTTTTCCTTTGGTTTTGAAGAATCCATGTGAGGGCTTGTCTTGTGATACAGTTGTGTGCTTTCCTCGATTTCTGTCCTATCGACTTTGTCAACTGTCGTCCATGCACGATTTTGCAGTGTAATCCATCTGCAAATTACTATAATATCCACCAAACCCCCCTTTCGATAATAATGTTTGTTTGTTTGCTTAGTCAGACTTGTAGATAGTCTGACAGAAGTTAGATGAGTTATATATTCTCCTATCCTTATTATTGATTGTTTATTGTTGTTGGATTGTGTCAGATCGTTGTAGGTTTCTATTTTGGAAATATATTTACGTTCCAGTCAAACAAATCACATGTTCTTGATCTGAGTTGTGTTGAAGTCCTGTAGAATAGACACTAGAAGGGAAGCTATTGTAGATATCCATCTAAGGTAGATAAAGTCTCATTTGTGTAGACGAAGAAAATCCGATCGTTATCAAATAGTTTCATATCAATTTGATTGATCAATGAACATTGATTATTGACAAATCTAATAATTCAATCAATTATAAATCATTTAAAATTAGAACATTAAAAAAGTGTAATCATCTTGTTCCGGTTAAATTGTGATACAGTAACGTGTATTGATTACGTAATCTATATATTCATGATATACTTTGAATGAACTCTAAATATTATTATTACACAATAGTAGGTATAATACTTGTACATTTTGTATCTTACAGTTCTGTATATGATTTTTTTCGTAAGATAAAAGATAGAACATGTAAAGATGGATAGTGGCTAGCATTGGAATCCAGGATGAGCACCGCTTCGTCCTATTTGAGACTCGTCAGCTAGATGTTTCTGCATCTCAGAGTTGATTTTCACTCTGGTACTCTAACCCACTACTGTTCTCTTCATATGCCAACGCGTTATCCACTTAGCTACTGAGCTCTGATAGCTGAAACTAGGATTTTCCAACTATCCTAGGTAGGTCCTCCATATCCATCAACTAGGTTAAAGCGCCGAACATTCGCTCTACATCCTCTCACTTTTGTAAACAACATTTTCACCGCGAGAAAGTAGTGAGAAGGCCTTCGCTGGAAGTGATTTCATCAAAACAGAACATTGTGTATCAGATAGTGATCAAACAAAACTAAAAATAAATAAGTAACATCAATCGGTTCATTATCTCAATCAAAAACTGAATAATCTCCACAACCCTATACTGATAATTGCCATGTCCTCACTAGTGGCTAGCTTTGTGAAACATTTCCCGAAGTTCTAGTGAGAAACCGTAAGCAGTGGATTTAATCTCTGTGGAGACAGGTATCTACCTCAGTACAATGAAAGATGGTGGAGTGATTTCGTGGATTGGTTGAAGTTAGACATTAACACTATTAAATGCTGACTTAGTAGTCTAGAGGTTAAGCGTTTACGTGCGAGATTGAAGGCCCTGGGTTCGGATCCCGCGAGCGGGATCGTGAATGCGCGCTGCTGCGGAAGTCTCACAATAGGACGAAACGGCTTTCCAGTGCTCCTAGTCTTTCAACGATGGTCTAACATCAATCAGTTCATGATCTCAATCAAAAACTTGATCATCTCCACAATCTTATACTGATAAAACTCAATAAAACGGATTAATTTCAGTCGATATTTCTTATCCACTTATTATCAATCATTATCTAATTAAATCATATTAGATCTTATCAATTGTGCTTAATGAACAAATATATATATATACACAATTGAATTCAATGATAAATCGTGTCATTTATGCACATAATACTTCCATTCATTCCTTCATTCATCATGGATATATACATCACGTTGATAATCAATGAATGATGCCAACAAATACAAGTTCATCTATTTTATTGATTAGATTCAATCATTAATCATATGATTGAATATTACAATGGCAACACTTATTAATATGAATGAGAACGTGTCTACTAATGGAATATAAATTATTTATTACAAGAAGTTATTAATATTAAGTAAGTTATTTATAATGGTTAGTGTTATGGTAACAAAGAATCTATTCAATATGATATGGAATTAGTATAATTATTATTGTATATAGTATAATAATACATTATTGAAGATGTGTACATTTAGGAGTAGCAAAGGTTAGCGAATACAATTGACATTTCTGATCCCCCTTCTCCTCCTCCTTCTCCTTATCATCATCATCATCATCGCCATCATCATCATCATCATCATCATCATCATCATCATCATCATCATCATCATCATCATCATCATCATCATCATCAGGTGAAGTGATGAGTAAATGATGGAAACAATATCATAATTATCGTTATCACTAATAAATTAAAAGTGAAGTTATGGTGATAAGAATATACATGTAGTTACGAGATGACATATACATGTATAGTAAAAAGGCTATGAAGAAGATGATTTTGATAAGTTTTTGTTCTCTGAACTGGATAGTTTAGGTATGGAGCTTTCATCGTCCTTCTGAACGGCATCATCAGTACAAACTTTTGCACCATATCAGAAGAAGAAGAAGAAGAATTGTTGTTTTATACTAGTTTGGTCATCTTTAACAGTCTATATCTACTAATGACCAGTAGTTGATCAAATCAATAACACGTTGAACGTTTGATCATAATGATCAAAAAAGCTGCACAGTACTAACTCTTAGTTTAAATGGAAGAATTTCCATAAATTCCAAGATTTCTTTGATTTTCTTTTTACTTTCTAGATAGTGTCATTTAGCATCTTCAATTTATCAGATGTCTTATTTTCCATATTCTAGATGGATTGGATCTATCTCATTCGTGTTATAATTTGTTTATTTCTCATTAAACAACTTATCCATCTTCTATACATCATATTCATTTATACAATTGGCAAGAGATTATTTTCTAAAAGGAAATTATTGAAAGAAGCTGGTGAATGGGCAATTGTCACTGGTGCAACAGATGGAATTGGTAAAGTATATGCAGAAGAATTAGCTAATGATGGTTTAAAAATTATGTTGATTAGTAGAAATGAAGAGAAACTTTTAAGTATTGCTGATGAGATTGGACGAAATTATCATGTAGAGACAAGAATAGTAACAGCTGATTTTACAAGTGTAAGTGTATATTTGTGTATAAATATACCTTTTAATCGATAGTTAGATTTTTGATTGAGATCATGAACCGATTGATGTTAGACCATCACAATTGAAAACTTGGAAGCATTGGACGGCCGTTTCGTCCTATTGTGGGACTCCTCAGCTGTGCGCATCCACGATCCCGCGAGCGGGATTCGAACCCAGGGCCTTCGGTCTCGCACTCGAACGCTTAATCAACTGAACCATTGAGCCGGCACTGCTGAGGAGTCCCACAATAGGACGAAACGGTCGTCCAGTGCTCTCAGGTTTTCAATTGTGATGGTCTCACATCACTCGGTTCATGATCTCAATCAAAAACTTAATAATCTCCACAACCCCTATACTAGTTAGTTAGATTGTAATTGTAAATGACATATTTGTTACTGGGCAGTGAGTAATCTTAGGTGTCATGTTTGTTACATCCTCTAGTATTGATCAAATTCCATAGATGATTTCATATTGTTGTCACTAGTTAAATTGATTCGAAATGATAAGCAAGATCTCTGGTGGTTAATTGCCATCTGAGTAGATCAGTGATGATAATGTACCAAATTGTAAAATCGGGTGAAATGTATTCAAGTTGTTTTAAGTTCTCAGGTATTCTTTGTTGATAAGTACTAACTAATACAAACATAGATTTATGGTTTTCTATCAATCACCGCTTCTATGTAATTGACATTGAACATCTTCAGGTTTATTGTTATAATTGCCTAGACATTTTTTATGTAAAATCGAATCATCATTGGTTGGAATAAGGTATCAGTCCGTTAGTCAGTCTGCAACAACATAGGACCAGGCACATACATGCATCGGTCCAAGTTGTCATACCTCATTAGTACAGCAAGATGAACACCGGATTCATAGCAGTAGTTAATTCGGTGGTGGTAATGTATATAAAAAAGATTTCATAGTACATAAAGAAAGAATTTGTTATGTCCTAGTGAAGATTACATTACGAGTAACTTCTGAGACATATTAATTGGCTAATATTATTTATATATTCTTATGGTAAAATTATTCAATAATTAGATTGTGTATATCTATATTCCCCATATTATTAGCTTCATTTTGACCCATAGATTATTATGATGCGATTTACGGTTCTTGAGTTATACCCAGTCAAGTCATTACAGTCTCTCACATTCACAGCCACTTTTTGGCTTTATTGTGTATGAATGTTATTTCCTATTTTATGGTGTGTTGCGGTCTGTTTGTTTGGTATATAAACCAAGTAGGTTTGAAATAAATGATTCACATAGTGGAAGCTATTGTTGGCGTTCTGGACTCAGGTGGACGGGCTAGGCGAGCAACGGACCAATAGAACGCTAGGCTGATCAGATCGAACGAACATCATTGGTTTAGTACACTATAAGTGCGAATAAGTCGTATTTTGATTGGCGAATAAATTACGGGATAACTAGCGAGCCATAAAGACAAAACAGAATTAGTTAGAATAAGGTAAATACCTCATTCCAACTGAATAAAATCATGCAAAATCGCTACTAAGATTAATGTGTGTTAAGATTATGTATATGGTTAAATCTTTCGAAGCGTCCAACCACTCAGCGCTTAAAATTGATATTCAAATTAACTATTTATCTAAAAAACGATTTGTCGGAGTGATCCGACAAATTTCTCGCAAAAGACAAGCAAGCATCAGGAAACACTAAGAAGCGTTTCCTCCAATCAGCGTTCACTTGAAGTTCTCGCCAAAAAATGTTCTGGTTGGCTGATTGCTACACTGCTACTATGTTTGGTAGCATTCCGGAAACTTCTAGCAACCCAAGAACATTTCAAATATTATAAAAACTCTGTATTTTCTGTTTTGAAATGAACCTTGGAGTAAAGTCCTTCTCGCATACTTTGCGCCTTCTCTCTCGTTGTTCAGGTCGCTGTATAGTTCTAGCTTGGGGGTTACAGAATAACTTAGGAGACGAATATAGCGTTCAATCCGCAAGACTTATCACGATTCGATTATTACGAAGTATAGGTAAACAAGTTGTGTAACTCATCTTGTTAGGTATTTGCAGCAATTAACTCGTTCATATATGTATAGAGTGACAAAGGCTTCTTATAATAATTGGATAGAGAATAATTACAATATACGATAACCTAAACGATAGCCAGTAGATGTGCCTAAAGTCAATGATGACTATTAGCGGTCAAACGAAGACTAAGAGTACAAAAACACATGAATGTTATTGCTTTTAAATAAAGATTCAAGGAATGCAAAAAAACGGCAATAGCTGTTTCGGTAGATGAGAGAATGAATTTAAAGTAATAAATAGAGTGAGGTTTGTTAGTTAATGTGAATGCCTAAAAACAAATCACAGAGAATCTCTGGAAGATGTAAAAACATTTAAATATCTGGGCAGCATCACTGGCGAACACGATAGATTTGATGTAGATATGAAGGCATGGGTCGGTTAAACAAGAGCAGAATATCTACTATTGAAGAATATCTCGAATTGAAAACAATTGACAACTGTCAACACCATAGTCAGAATTTTCAATACAAATATCAAGACAGTTTTACTATATGGAGCGGAAACTTAGAGAACTATGAAAGCCATCATCCAGAAGATACAAGTGTTTATTAACAGTTGTCTATGTAGAATACTTCGGATCCGTTTACCAGACACAGACACTATCAGCAACAATCTGCTGTAGAAGAGAAAAAACCAGATCCCAGTGGAGGAAGAAATCAGGAAGAATCACTGGAAGTCGATAGGACAGAAATCGAGGAAAGCACACAACTGCGTTACAAGGTAAGCCCTCACATGGAATCCTGAAGGCCAAAGTAGAAGAGGAAGACCAAAGAACACATTACACCGAGAAATGGAGACAGACATGAGAAAAATGAACAAAAATTGAATAGAACTGGAAAGAAAGGCCCAGGACAGAATGAGTTGGAGAATGCTGGTCAGCGGCCCATGATCCATTGGGAGTAACAGTTGTAAGTAAGTAAGTAAGCTAGAAACAAATAAACGTATGTGATACCATACGTTCAAAAGTTTTTTTAAATGCATCTGCTTACTGAATATCCATAAGTAGTATTAACAACACAATAAATTCAGTTGAGTGAAAAGAGAATGAAAACAAAATCGAAACTAACTTGACATATAGGAAATGAGTTAAACCGTTATGTGATAATATGATTCAATGGAATTTTAACTAATCAGTCATTTGGACCCTGTTAACTAACTTAAACGTTATAAATTCCATTTAAAATCTAAATGTCCCAGTTTCGATTGTTAATGGGATTGTTAGTGTGCAGTCCGTAAAATGTTCTATCATTAATTGAGTGAAATGGAGCAATTATAGATCAATCTAGTCCTTTAACAATATATGTTGACCATGAAAGCTTAATAGCTCTTGTTTACATAATTGGCAGAAAATCGGATACATACAGCTAATATGCTGATGATGTCGTTGAGAAGAACAATGAAAGTTCCACGACCAAACCATCCAGCTCAAAGAACAAAACTTCATGAAATACCCTCATATTTGTATGTTATATCTGTCCAGTTTTCTGTAAGTTCTAAATGAGAACAAACTAAATCTTCTAAAACCTTCCATATATATTCATTCATTCACGTTTTGTTCTTTTCTTTATCACAGACTGATGTCTATCAAAGAATACAAGAAGCTATAGATCAATTATCATCAATTGCTTGTTTAGTCAATAATGTTGGTATGGGTCCGCCTAAATTTGATTATTACGCAACAACCGATTACATGTCTATAAATTTTATTAAAAACATCGTTTTTTGTAATACTTTACCTATTGCTATGATGACCCATATAGTCTTACCGAAAATGTTAAAACAACCTACAAATGGTATGGCTATCATTAATATTGGATCATATTCTGGTTATAGAGCATTTCCATTATTATCATTATATTCAGCAACAAAATCATTTGTGAATCAATTATCTAGATCCATTTCAAATGAGAACTATGATCATCGTATTCATATACAAACAGTTTGTCCAATGTTTGTATCGACTAAAATGATCAGTTATTGTAAAATGTCATCATTGATTCCTGATCCAAAAATTTATGTTCAACATGCATTAAATATGTTAGGTGTTGAAAAGGAAACATTCGGTTATATGGGTCATGCTATTCAAGCTTATATAAATAGTTTTTTACCAAATTCATTTCTAAAATATTATATGTTATTCATGAGATGGTGGATTATAAAACATAAATTACATTAAAGTAATATCTTATTATGATAAAACATATTTGATTCGAATGGAAACATGGACAATATTCTTAGATCTATATATTACCATCATTGAATGAACTACTTCTATCAATTCAGTATTCATCTTGTTGTGATGATAAGGTGTAGTAAGTTGAACCAATGCCTGGTCCTGTGTTGTAGCTGACTGACTGATTGATTGATACTTATAACCATATGTCTTTACTATTGCTATTATTATTATTACTAACATTATAACATTCAAGAACACCTCTATTTACTTTGATCTTCTTTCTTTTCACTTGTCATAATATAAATTTATCTTGTATACGCAAAACATCGGTTATAACTTGTGACCTGTGTGACCTATTCATGTATAATTGAACGATATCGCCAATGAGGGAGCAGTGAATTATCGCTCGGATCAATGATGGTCTTTCTACCCATCTAGTCCTAGCTGTTACAGTCCAGAACACAAATCTCAGTCTCCACGTTTTAAATCGTATATTTCAAATATATTGGCAATCAAACAGACTACATCATACCATAAAATAGAAAACAATATTTGTACAAGATTTAGTCAAATGTGCCTGTGAATGTGAGAGATTGTAATTGAAAGACCAGGTGTAACTCAAGAATGGTAGATTGTATAATAATAGTTTATAAGTCAAAATAAAGCTTATAATGAGTGGAACACGAATACGAATAGTTTAGTTGCTTAACAATTATACAATACAAAATAGATGTATCGTACTAGTCTATAAATAGATCCCAACATATCACACTTTCAATGGGATAGGGAATAGCTTTTCTCTAGACTATTCTAGATATCTCGTTACAGGAGTGCTCAATTATATAAATCATTGAGGTGTAATCCGATAATTAACTTTTCTATTGAAATGTGCATTGATCCTCAGATAGTGATTTGTGGTGACTACGATCATCAGTTTTAATCAATATTGGACAAAGTTTTTAAGTTATAGATAAGACTTATTAGCGAACATATTTAAATACAGATTAGTGATGTGGTAAATAAAGAGAGAAGAAGAAAATACATTATTATCTGGACATAATTTTAATCTATGCATCCTTAACCATCTTTTTGTGAGCTGGATACGTCAATGTTTGCATATGCTGTTTCGAAGATAATGGAGTTTGAATCAATTACCGGGCATGTCTCTGAAATGGAGAGTACTGGACCACTGGGAGGATGTTGAAGGACTGCTGTTTCGTTTGAAGTACGGTCTACTGAAGATCCATGGAGGCTGCAATCATTTTCCAGCTCAATGTGCAATTGAGAAATTAATCCATCCACTTCCGTCGCATCTCTAAAGCATGAGTGATTCAGTAGCTGCGTGCGTAATTAGACTAAGAACTTCAACTATCGCTCAAATAACAGCTGTAATTGATCGCAAGGGAGATTCTTTTTTTTCAATCAGCACTGGTAATGAAAATTACTGTATGAAAAATGACCAATGTCGTTCAAAGACACTGATGACAAATCTGGATACTGATTACTCGAAATAATTAGAATGAATTTCGTCCAATTACAGGCTGACTTTGGATCGTAATTTTTTTATACCCCGTCGCCAATTGTTATGACTTGTGACCGCCGATTAGAGAGCAGTGAATTATCGACCGGATCAAGGACGCGTAAAGAAAGTGCGAACAGCCTAGAGCTCTGATTGGTCCTGCTTTCCGCCCAGCCCAGCCAGTTAAGTCCAGAACACCACTACGAGCCTCTGCGATATGAATCATATATTTCAAACATACTCTGTTTATATACCAACCAAGTAGACCACAACGTACCAATAAAATATGAAACAACATTTGTACAAGATTTAGCCAAATGTCGCTGTGAATCAGGGAGATAGTAGTTGATAAACAGGTCATAACTCAAGAATGGTAAATCGTATAGTAATGGTTCATGGGTCCAATTAAAGCTTATAATAAGACCAACATGAATATGAACAGTTTAGTTACGTAACAATTATACAATACAAAATATACACATAGTACCGGTCCATAAATGGATCCCAAAAGTTACCATTCATTATACTTAACGGGATATAACACTATCATATTGTTTTCTTCTAAAAACCTTCTATTTTCAACACTTAAACTAATCCCAAAATTTTCTAAGTTGTTATAATTAGAATAAGATGATTAACTAACAATGAAATGAATTTCATATATTGACTATTGAATAACAATTGGGCATGGTATTCTTTTCTATATAACATAATCTATTGAATGAATGAAGTTAAATGAATTGAAGTGAATTCCTATTTTATTATCTTTATAATAGGGAACAATAAAAGAATTTCTGAAATAAATAGATTTCAATAATAGAAGTTGAGTTTGTTTTTATTTGGTAATTGTATTTCTTAAGCGATTTATTGCTAACAAATTCACTGGTATGGTCGAGAGTGGTGAGAGTCAGCTCTCTCCTTGTCTTAAAATGCCTTAACATGATCATGTGTATACACTTTCTGAAAAGTCCTATTCACTGCTTTCTCGCGATTTACGAAATTGAAAGGACAAAAAACAAATGTAAAGCACTTCAACCGGGTTGGTAGACAAGGAGAATCCACGTAGAGGAGTTGGAAAACCCTGATTCCAAAACAATGGTGCACATGAACTCCAAAATCCTAAGGAAACAAATGGTGTATGAATCTATTGTTAGCTGACGACTACCATGGGATTGTATCGCCTAACGTTATTCTACTGCCTTGTGAATGTCTTATAGGTCGAAGGCTCTGGGTGTAGCTCCCTAAAAAAACCGCATGTTTCTGTTTGAGTGTGCGGGCATTATAGCAGCCTTCACATAAATAGAATGATTTATATGGCGCATAATTATTTGGTGCCTCCTTGTACCAATATCTATGTGTTAAAATAAATCTGAATCAAAAACTTAATCATCTCCACAACCCTATACTGATAATTGCCATGTACTCACTACTGACTAGCTTCGTGACACATTTCCCGGAGTTTTAATGAGAAAGGTAGAGACAGGTATCGACCTCAGTTGGATGGTGATGAACAAGATTTCTGAAGTATCATCACCTCTTTTATTACTGTAAATAATTCTTGTTGATGAGTACCAAGTGCTCACTCAGTCGTTTAGTCACATATCATTGTTAACAGAATGCAGAATTATAACACATATGAAGTGTTGATCATATCTACTGAGTATGTTATCCTGCCAGATTGTATTTTAACTTATCGCTAATGTAAACCAATTTATTATGTCTGGACAAATCATTTGGACTTCCCTTGACCAGTCAGTCAGGTAAAAGCGATCATCCGTTAAACATATATCTCCGAGACTACAGACAGTGTGAATGGAACCTCTACACCCAATGAAACGATCTCCGTAAAATATGTTTGATAACTGTTCTTATTTGTTTTCCATAAGACTCATATAAGAGTACAGATGTTTTCAGTTAGATTTTCTACATGACTAAATATATGTAGATACCAAAACCATTTGTTAACCAAGATAGGTGATAAGTTAACGATTTCAATCGTTTGGATTTCAAAAAATCGTAAGCATTTGTGATTTTTGAACCTCATATTTTTTACCGTCTTCCATACTTTGTACTACTAACTATTAAAAAGTAGTTTGAGTGTACATAATCCATTCTATGGTCTTTTATTTAAACGTTATATTTCATTCTTCAACGTATGATTATAACCACGCCCTAGTTTCTCTCTTTGAGAGCTGAACAATGTGATTATTTACGAATTTGAGATTCAATATTATTTCCATTGATTGATGATATTCTTACCTGGCAAAACCGTAAGCTACTTTTATACGACAGATTAGTCAAAAATAGTTCTATCAAAAGGTCTACGATGTGCGTCAAGTTTTCATTTCATAACTGTTATCTTGAAAATGTATGAATACGTTTCATCTCTAACCATAGTCAAGAGAAAAAGGCTTTTTCTAGCAGGGTTTTAGCCTTACCTCATAGTCAGTAACATCTAAATGAACTCTTGAAGGATAAATATTATGGCTTTGGTCAGACAATTGCATGCGACGGCACTGAATTGCTAGTTGGAACAATACGTTGCACTTTTGATCTGGTTGTTTACTTTTGGTGGGTCTTTAAAATGTATAAATAAAATCTGAGCGATTTCATTTTGGAGCCATATCAATCGTAGGAATCTTTTCTACACTCGTTAATATATACGGTTCGTTAACTTCGTCCACTACAATACAGAAGAATCATAATAACCTATCTTAAAACCGGTAACATAAAAACCTACTAAAACATATACACAGTACATTTATTACAATAAGCTATTGTAAAAACGCCTTAAGAAAGTTTAAATATACAGTGAACAGGAAATTAGAAACGTCTGTATCTTCTAGAAGTTTACCTACTTAAGTCCTGCACGGAGATATAGAAATGACCTTTTAAACAACCCAACTCTATCGGACGTTGTAACTGTTTCATAGTGGTTACTGCTACCAGAAGTAATTCAATTTGGTTCATTACCTATATGTACATTCCAACAAAATGCATTAATACAGTCCGGACATTTTAATTTGTCATCAGTAAATTACTGTTGCTATATGATGGAACTAAAAATAGGATCAAGGTTCAGTCATAAGTCACAATTTGTCAACAACTGTGTACTACAACGCAGCAGCTGATGAGTCTGGTTTGTTATGGCCAATTTGCATAACATTCAAATGCTTTGACGAAGAAATCTTCCAAATACTTTCATATGGCACCTTCGTAAAACCCCATATGAAGCAATGTATTGAAGTGGTTATTTCATTTAAGTAAAAATCTAGATGCCCTTGAGTGTTTGAAGTGCAAGGGCTATGTGTAGGTAACAGAACATTCCAACCTTTCATGTGAAAAGCGACTGAGACGATTAAATTTATCCCCCCCTATTTAGTCGTAGAATGAGAGATGATCTTATATTAGCATACCGCATTTTGAATAGTAACCTGCCCCCTCCAGAACTAATTACCTTCAAATCCCATCCTAAAAAGCTTCGAAAACTGCTATCGAATAAACTTGGGTAAGGATTCCGATCTTCGTGCCTAATGGTCAGCAACTTGAATACCCTACTCGAACTAGTAGTATCTGCATCACCAATGCTTTCAAGTAGATGTATCTTGATTGAAAAACATATTCGTGGGATTACTACATGACAACTGATAAACTATACATGTTACTGAAGACTTCACACTATTTATTAGATGAATTGTAATGATTAGTTTAACTATAAATTAACATCAGTTAAACGACAA